TCGACACCGAGACCGAAGTTCAGAGAAAGAGAGGGAAAGGAAAAACAGGGAGGAAGGCCATCGAGACAAAGAGAGGTTGCGGTTCTCACATAGTGATAAGGACTCTGAAAGCAAATCCTCACAAGAAAGTAGAAATCCTGAAAAGAAGGATGCTCCTAGAATTGAAGAGCGCTTTCACGAAAAAGAGAAAGAAAGAGAAAAGAGTAGGGAACGGCCAAAGGAGCAAGACAATGAAAAGAACCGAGAAAGGCATCACAAAGACAGGGACCAGAGTGATCGGGGTAAAAGCAAAAGGTGAAAGGAAAAAAAAATGAGAAAGAAGACACAGTCTGTCTTCTAGTTCTAAACAAATAGAACATAATATGTTTTAAATATGTCCTAAAGCTGTCTGTATAATATATGCTTGGATATAATTGTGCCATCAATACTTTCTTTTTATATTCAATGTTTAGTGTTTTGTAGGACTAAGTCTGTTCTGGTACCAGTCTGTGTACCGCACATTCATTTTCTTTTACAATCTCTTGACATAGGAGTAGAGTTGAATAGTTGGAAGATTTTACTCTGCTTGTATAGAAAAATGACTGAAAGGGGCTTCTTTTAATATGCAATAAAAGACACATTACAGATTCTTTGTCAAATTGGGCTTCAGTTGAGCTATTTGTAGCCTTTGATGATTTGTACTTTGCATTTGGAGCTGCTCCAGCAAACATGAAGATGGATTTGTTGTGTTAAGTATGACAACACAGCACTGGCTTTGAAAACGAGAGATTTACTGTAATGCAGCCCTATTCCAATGCATATGAATTCAAAAGATTCCAAAGAATAAGGAAATGGTGGAGGCAGAGAGAATTCCACCTATATTAATTATTAATCATTGGGCATTTCTGATAGAAGTGGCCTGTGAGCAGATACAGTCCAGATTTTACTGCTTTGGGGCACACTTTTTAGTGGGCTATTTTGCAGCTTTAGCCTTTCCATCATTGATGGGTCAATGAATGAAATGAATATGATGGGTCTCCTGAAATGAATAAAACTAATGACTTCAATTAGTGTTGGGACTGGAATTAAATATATTTGTCCACTTTTAATCGTTAAGCGCCATCTAGGAGAATTTGCTGGAGTTCTCAAGCTTTGGTCATTTTGGGTTTTTATCGGCAACAACAAAGCCTAGATCAAGGTTGACTGTGTTTTCCACTTCATCTGCACAAAGGCTTTCTTTTTTTTAATGTGACCACCACCACTCCTGATGGCAATTTAAGAACCCTAGCTTTCAGCTGAAATTAATATTTTAGCTATTTCTCATGCTTTGAAAACTTGAATACCTAAGCTTGTACATGAGACTTGTGTTTTACTATTCTTTATATTATAAAATGTAAATATTTTAAGGGGTATTTTGATTCTACAAATGATAACCTTCTCACAGTTGTTTGCTTGATTTTAATAGATGTGGAGCAATAGGCTATATACCAGTATAACAGAAAGATGTATAAATATGGCTTGCCTTTACAGTTAATGACTGGTAATTTTTAATAACCCACAGGGTTTTTAATAAATAGATCAGTAAAATGTGATTTTTCTGTGAAATATTATAGTATATTGGTTTCTCTGTTAGATATCATTGCACTACTCTGTTCAACATCCTATTTTGAAGTATTTAGTAAAATTAAGAGCATTGTGCATAAAAAAAGAAACCTTTAATTAAACCGCCTTACCTATGAACATAGATTTTGCACTTTGGTATAAGAAAAACTATCTCTCAATAATATGTGATTAAAATAAATTGTTAGGCTATTTTAAAATCTTATTTAAATATAATAGCCAGTTTGCAAACCTTGCAAATGGCTTTATTTAGTCAAATTAAAAATGCTATATCATAAATTGCTTGATGGTACCTTTTTTGTTTTAAGTGATGGTCCAAAATGTTGACTCATTCATGCATATAATCAGTCTACATTTTCAACAGAAATGCAAGCATATGCTAGGTTTAGGATAAATTCTTGTTTGTGTGTAGGCACTGAAGACTTTTCCTGGAATTTTCCCGTAAAAGTGAGTAGAGTAACATTGGCACAAGACCCACCCATAATTACTTTCAATCTTTCTTGTGAAACCCTTTAATTAGTGCTCATTTTCAGCTAACTCTCCCAAGGGCTCTTACTATATGTCTGTCATGGAAAGAAGATAACAAGCTTATTATTCATAATATTTTTTGCTGCAAAAATGAAAAAAAACTACTGGGAGGACGAGGTTGAAAAAGTTTTGGAAAATGAGACCTTATGGGAATTTAAACTTCAAACAGACAAGCCCCTTACTCATGATATGTCTGATAAAACAGTTATTGAAAACAAGAAAATCTTAGGACTGCAAGTTTGGATGCTTATGGAAAAAGAAATCTGCTGTTACACCAGTTGTGATTGGAGCCCTTGGAGCAAAGGATTTCATCCATATTTGGAAAATGTTTTAATTCATCAGAACTGAACACCCTAATTTTACAAAAATAACCACTTGTTTGGAATTGCCTACATCCTTAGTTGCTACCTTAATAATTGATAGGTCTTTGGTTAGGACTTGATTTATTAAGTATTCACCAAGCTTAGTCTGAATCTAACAGTAGATTACTCATAATAAGTATGCAATTACTTTTATTCCAGCTTTATTATTTTTTATAAATAACTCAAAATAGTGAATATATCTAGTATTCCTTCCTTCTTTTATGTTTTTCCCACAACAACAACAACTGTGAGGTGAGTTGGGAGTCAGGGAAAGTGTCACCCAAGATACCCAGCTTTCATGCCTCAGATGGGACTAGAACTCAAATCACTCCGTTTCTAGCCTGATGCCTTAACCATTAGACCAAACTGGCATAGTAACAGTAATATCATCTGCCTATCACTGACTTTGAGGAGAACACAATAGGTTGGCAAAAATGTCAAATCCAGTCTAAACATATGGGTGACTGTGCGACTAACCATAATAATAAAGTATGGTTACATGAGTGTCACACTTTGATCATGAAATTGGAGTTTCTTCTGAATTTTAAATATTTACACTTTCCAATTTGTGATATTTTATTAATATTTATTTGGATATTTATGTAGAAGTATAAGATGTTCTCCGAATAGTCTCATCATAATCAGTGGGAGAATCCTGCAGGTAAGCTTATGAGCAGATTAGAAGATCAGTGCTTCAAAGACTGAAATCCTAAATGCACTTCCACATAAATATAACTAGGAATAGTGTATTAAACTTACTATACATAAAAAAGTTTTAAAATGCCAAATATTTGCTATATATGCCCCCCCCCAATACCTCCAAAATAATCAGGAGATGCAATCAGAAATCTAGCATCAGGTATTTTAAAAAAAAAAAACTACAGCGTGTTATAATTTTCTTTCTTTCTTTGGCTCCTCCTGAGATGCTAGTTCATATAACAGTGATGGCGGCTTGTTAGGTAATCAGTTGGGAAGAATTTTGTTCTGTAAGGTATGAGTATAATGAATACAAATTTATAGTTTAATTAATTGCAGAATGAGCAAAGGGCTGTGCAGAATAATATTTCTTGGTTCAACATTTTCCATACCTCAAAGACCTTACAAATAAAAATCTAGACTAAGAAAGTTGAATTGACAAGGTTTTTCTTCTATTTATTATTGCAGATTTCAAATAAGATATGAGAAGTCCTTATCCTAAAATAGAGAAGTACATAGGAAGAAATGGTGTTACTAAAAAAGTAGGGACTAAAAGAATGATCAAAGGCTTTCCAAAACATTTCAAGGAAGTAAAGTGAACAGGTGACGTGTATTGTCACACATAGATATGTTATGAGGCATAATTTGAGGTAGGAGGTACAACAACAAAACATGGATAATCCAGGGAATTTCAATACAACTGGTAGAAAAGCATTAAAATAAGATTCCCTTATGTGTAAATTAAAACTATAGGCTATGTTACATATAGTTCATCCCACCAATTATTGGTAAAATTAAATAAGAACCATAATCTAATAACAACAACCTCAGGAAAGGGAGAGATACCAATAGAGAATATTTGTACCAAAGATGCTTTTTCAAAAGGCAACTGGACTTTTCCTTAAGGATATTTCGCTTCTCATCTTCAGAAGCGAAACATCTTCAAGGAAAAAGTCATCTTTTGAAAAAGCACCCTTGGGACAATCTTGATTGGATGATTGAGTATCTCCATAGACATTAAAAATATTTATAGCTCAGGGTTGAAATGTGGGATCCTTAATGCTCTCAGAGCCTTAGTTGTTTTCTTGCAGATGTTTCATTACCCCAATTAGGTAACTTCTTGCAGTGTTAGTATGGATTAGGGTTCACCGAGTAAGAAAATATCATTTTCTAACAAAATAATGCTCCTTTAATTGTCCATCACTCTTCCAAAGTCCATAGCTTCCTTATTTAATGCTAATAGTTTTACATTTTAGCAAGAACATTCCTGCTTTCATGAAATTAATTGCTTTCAATGATAATGGATCTCCCCAAGTACTCCCCAAGTATATATTGTATTGTTTCTTTCCCTGAAAAATGTGGGTTTTGTAAGAGAATTGGGGCATGCTTTGTTTTTCATTATATTAGGCATTTATTTTTGGAATATATTTTAAAGCTGAGGAAGGATCTCTCTGAAATTTATTAACCATTGTTAATGTTTTGATATGATTTAATTGCTCCCTAAGAAGAAAGCTACTGCTCACAAAAATAAGCATAGAAAATAAAAGCTCTGCCACTTTCAAAGTAATATTACAGGTGGTTTTTGACCTACAACCATTCATTTAGTGACCATTCAGTTACAACAGCATTTGAAAAAAGTGACTGATAACCATTTTTCACTTACACCCATTTCAGAATCTCTTTGGTCATGTGATCAAAATTTAGAGGCTTGGCAACTGGCTCCTATTTAGGATGGTTGCAGTGTCCCAGGATCATGTGATCAACTTGTGCAATCTGAAAAGCAAAGTCAATGGGCAATCCAGATTCACTTAACTGTGTTGCTAACTTAACTGCAGTGATTCACTTAATAACTGGCAAGAAAGGTCATAAAATGGGGCAAAACTTACAACTGTCTCCCTTAGCAACAGAAATTTGGGGGTTAAGTGTGGTCATAAGTATTACCTGTACTTGCAGTAACAAACTATGTGATCCATTCTCTACTATTAGCTGATACATTTTTAATGACAATGTGTAATGCGATAGGTTGAAATAAGAAAAATGTAATACGTATAAGAAAAATTAATTTTATTTTTGAATAGCCACTCCTATCTTGTGGATTTGTCATAGGAACAACCATGACTCTGGTTGACTTGAACTCTGAATAATAAGTCTAAATATTAAGTTTCTTGGACATTAAAATTTTTGCAGTTCAATTTGATGAGAAGGAAATATTAAAATCATGTAGATAGCTGAGGATAGGAAAGAATAGAAGGAAGTGGAACTGAAACAGAAAAGAGTCAAAAGACATTGATTTGAGAGGTTTCACAATTAAATGCAGGTGGGTGATTCTGGTCAAGGTGGTGAGGAATATTAAGAATGAATCATGAAGAGTACATAAAAGACAAAGTCAGCAATTGTTAAGCATAAAGGAAACACGAAGAATCAAAATCAAATTAGGATTAAGGTAAATAAATGACCTTCAAGTCAGACTGCATGATTGGAAGAATTAATTGGGCAATCAAGGAACACAGAAGCAATCCATGAAAGCAACTGTTGAATTTAATACTTCGTATAAAATAAATCAGACAAGCAATAGGCTGTAGATTACAAGTGTTCTATTATGGACCATCTACAGTATAATTATGCCTGCCCAGAGTACCAGAGTAAGCTACTATTACAAATTTAAATAATACAGCCTTGTCTCTCTTGGTTACTCCTTATCTCCGCTATATATATTATACCCTTGTCCCTTAGTTAGATTTATTTTTTTTGAATCCTGAAAAAGGGCAACATCCTTTATTTTACCAATTAGTTGTTGCTTAAATAGTCCTGAGGTGATGTCACTTACTCTCTTATCAAGTCCAAACCCTCCAAAATAGCAAATGCCCCCATAGTTTAGAACAGTATATTTTTTCTGTGGATCAAGATCTTCAAAAATAACAAGTTCCTCATCAAGATACACTTCAATGAGAGTCCAGTTTTGCACAATGTTAACAAAATACCATTTTTTGCAGCACAACATCTTTCTTTGGTGAATAAGAGGGATGGCAATTCTTTCTCCTAAGTTAACTACAACTTTTAGCATTCCATTTTCAAATCCTACTCCAAGGAAGTCATTATCTTCATCTTCAGCCTTTCCTAACCAAACAAGCAAACCATCCATTTGACTGGTGGTAAAATTGAAAGAGATCCTAGTAAATCTGAGATCTCTCTCTTCATAATTGGTATCGGTGTACTTGATGTATGAATTGCCTGTGAACTTGGCAATCAAAAATGAGAGTTGTTTTTCACACCACAGGCCTGTCCAGCCAAGTTTACAGGCACATGTATATGAAAATAAAACAGGGTTGGGTATACAAATGCTGCCATGGAGACACTTACTATGTGAACAATAAATAGACTGCTCACATGTCTTCCCCATCCATTGCTTGGGGCACAAGCAAGAGAAATTAGACTCTATAACTTTGCATTTCCCATTGTTTTTACATACTCTATAGCCACAGGGTGTTCCATCGCAGTCTCCTATATTGGAACCACTTTTTGCTCCTTTCTCAGTGAGTTTTAATTCTTTGCCATTGACAAAGACCTCCCTAATGCAGCCAGTGAAGCCAGTGGGCACATTCTTAATTGCCCTGGGATTAACCAGGTTTAAGGAAGGTAGTCCTCCTACATAGAAATCAGTTTGTGTATCTAAGGAAGTCATGCCATTGGTAGCTTTCTGAGTTACATTGATTCCATCAAGATCCAAGTAGCCTTCGTTGCCAACTCTTCCTGCTTTAATTAAAAGCCAGGTCTTATTTGTGCTATGGACAGGTTGGAATGTCTGTAAAACAACTGTTCTGTCCCCAAGGCTGTAACGTAGTTGTATATATCCATTTGCCAAAGTGATACTTAGGAAGTCACCTAAAGGAGAAGAAGATGCAACACATTAGTATCTCTGAGCAAATAAAAGATTAACTAAACATTAAATTAGCTTTCAGCAGTCTGATATCTTCCATATGTGTCAACATTACAACATCCAGAATGCCAAGCCAGCATTAGATATCACTCTGCCATTACTTAGTAATCTGAAGATACTCAGATGAATCTCATGGTGCTTGCTTGTTAAGGTTTACATAACTAGTAAAACAAGGATTGCATTGCTAAGCTTTATATAATAGCAACTGAAGAAAAGTTTGGGCTCGTTTGTTATACATAATGTGTTTTGCAAACCAAGCAATGACAACCCCTCTGTTTTGGCTGCCACTAACCAATATTCTCCTGGGCCTTTCTTCATTCTACATATGTTTGCTTTGGCAGGCTTCTTGGAAGGCAAACATGACAAATGCAAACTTTTTCTTTTAAAGGCTCAAAGACTCAGTGGTTTGAAATGTATGTTTGTGGCACCGAGTAAATCAAGGCTTCCTCTTCTGTTACATATACTCTTTTCTTAAATACAGTAAAGCAAGCCTCATTGAATTTAAATAGAAATCTTTTTCAAGAAACCATATTTAAAATTTCATTTTTGTGAATATTGAGCACTATTATGGTATTTTTTATTTATTTTTCTAAATAAAAGGAGCCCATTTTTTTCTTTTAAATGATGTCCTGGTTCGAATTTGGGTTTCGTGAGTGCTGGGGAATTTGAGAGGGAAAGAGAGAAAGTTTCCCTAAGATACATAGTGTATGCTTCTTGCATTTGGGCTCGATTTGGCTCAGATAGGGTGAGAAGTGGTAGATGTAAAAAAACCCACATTTCCCACCAGTGAAGCTGGATGGAATGTTTATTGAGTTGCAATTTGTCACTAAAATAACACTTTCCATTTTCTTTGGATTTGAAATTTCACATCCTGTTTTAGTCTTAAAGTAATACTTTAGAGAATCAGTAACCCACTTTTATTAAAATGTATCCAAGCAGAAAAATATAGCTGTTGTAAGTTGATGTATTTTGCTGCTACAAAAAGGTTTTCCTTTGGAATAGTTAACCTTGGTCGCAGTCTTTTAACAGATAATATGTGCAAAGGTATCATTTAATAGATCATCCAGCATTTGCCTTGTACTACAGAGGTGGTATTCAGCAGGTTCTGACCAGTTCTGGAGAACCGGTAGCGGAAATTTTGAGTAGTTCAGAGAACTAGCAAATACCACCCCTGACTGGAGATTTTACATTATCCTTCCCGTGCCACACCCACCCAGCCTTGCCCACAGAACCAGTAGTAAAAAAATTTGAATCCCACCACTGTTGTACCACCTTCACATCTCAAAGGAAATCTAATTGTTTTCCTTAAAGCTCAAAGAACAGAGATGCCAGCACATGTGACTTATTTGGAGAAGCATAGTTTAACCCTAGATAATGACATAGTAGGGGCTTTGACCTGTTCCTATTTGAAGGGGCAAAGAAAGAAAGCACTTTTATTTTGTTCCATTTAAAAACTATGTTTATAATGTACAAAGAAGCAAAAAAATTGAAAGGAGTAGTAAGTGGAGTAAAATATGATAGCAAAATACCCTTCACTTTATTTGCATAGTCTTTCTGAAAGGTAGAAGAATAAGACAATCTACCTTGAACTTGGGTTCAAAATTTTGAAAAATCACAAAGGCAACTTTTAGTTCTTTTATAGGCTTCTATCTTCCATTTCCATCATGGGCACAAATCTTCCTTTTGATTGTTTTTCTGTTTACGTTAACATAGCAATTTAAAGCAGGGGTCTCCAAACTTGACAACTTTAAGACTTGTGGACTTAAAGGAACTCCCAGAATTCCTCAGCCAGCAAAGTTGCCAAGTTTGGAGACCCCTAGTTTAGAGCCTTGAAAGAAGTTTATGAGAAAGGGTATCTGACTGATCAAAAGCCCCTGATCCCGATCTTTTTACTCAGACAAAACTTCATGCTTTTAAAATCTTCTTTTCCCTTGGGCAATGTCCTAGATTTTCCTTGCAGAGTTCAGAGTTCAGAGAGAATAAATACATTCCATGATCTTACCTTTAAACTTCCCCTATTTTAACCTGATGAGAAACCTCAAATATTTTATTTCAGAAACATAGAGCACACATTTTAAAAAATAGCAAGGAAATGGTACAAAAAATGGCAACAGGGCTGAGATGAGTAGTATGACAAAAATGGCAGTGGAACTGAACATGAGAAAACGTTTCAGTGCTGTGAACAAATGATTGGCTGGTACATTTTGTCCATCCAAGCATGAGGCATGAGTTATAAGGCTGTAAGCCAAAGGGGGGCAGTGGATTTGCTTGTTGCTCCACTGGCTTCCTGAAGTGGCCTGAAAAGCTGGAATAGGCCTGGACACTGGAAGTTCCCCTTCCCTGCTGTAGCCCTTTGAAACAGTATTAGGAAGTATCATTTAAAGCAAAAGTTTCTATAATGAGCAGATTATGGAAGCAGATGAAAGATTCAGAAAATCTGGCAGGCTCACATTCTTTGGATGGAGTGATTGATGCTAATTGTCCAGAAAATAGGATTCTTTTTGAAACGGAAAATCTGCATGCTTTTCAGAGCTACTGACTATGTTAGGAGAGGCCTGTCTGGAAGCACCCTTGGTTTGCTGCTACCAGATCCTCCTAATACTGTCTTAACTCAGCTGATTCACAGCTGACTTGAGTGCATTTTGTTTTTAGTGTAAAGTGGTCAAGTTAATCATGCACACTATCATTGTGGTTGGTCACACAACCAGGTCTTTAGACTGGATATGGCATTTTTGTTCAGCTATCAAGTACTTCCCAAGGATGGTCAGGTGTTGTTGTTTGATGGTGCTAAGATACCACCACAGGATGTTTATTATCAATTCATTCATGTCGAGGAATTGTGCAGCAGCTTTGCAGATGAAGTCGGAGACACTGATACAAACTTGTTGTCTTTTATATAAATATAAACATTTAATATTCAAATTTATAGCAGTCTTTGTCATCAACTGGAAAAGAAAGGACGTAAGATAGGAACACAGGACATCATGAGGTAAATCTAAAACAGAGAACACCTCGAAGGAAAAAGGAGGGGGGAAAGGGAAACACCCCCTTTATAATCACAACAACCAATCATAGCATAGATTACATCATGCATGAATCAGCACTATGTAATCAACTACAACTCTGTGTTCTAGCCTATTGTACACTTTGCTGCTCCAGCTACTAAATTCAATATCCTAACAATTCACCACTTGCAAAATCATAACACACTAATCAGATATTTCATTTGACCTTTTTATTCCCCTTCCACATAATAGTAGAATGAAAGCCTGACCTGATCGGGAGCTCAGATGCTGAGCAGTGTAAAAGAGAATGCCGTTCCCTGAAAAGGTCTGGAATTGCATCTGGATATGAACCTTGTGTCGAATGTTGAAGGGCTCAAATGACATCCAGGAAGACTTGCGGTTGCTGAATGACGCATCACTTATGGTTAAGGCTATGAAACATCACAGGAAAAAGATTTCATCTCCACTAATAACAGAATGTTTTAAGATTTCTTTTGTCCATACCTAAATACATATGGCATACATTAATTCTGACCTAAATTCCTCTCCCTAATTTGCATTTTGTTTACTGCATTTTATACTAGAAACAAGGAATGGTGAGCAGGGGTGCCTAGTTGTATGCAATGTGTTATGGACCCAAACAGATTTGCAGTCAAATCTCAGATTCTGTGGCTTTTTTACCTTTAAGGAAAGCTTCTATTCAGAGAAGAGTTCTAGAAAAGGGGAAACAGAGGCACAGAACATACATTCATGGCAAATTGGGAAATGCAGCTAAGCTGAACTATTCTTTGAATTTTCTGAACCATACTGATTATGCTTGGACTGATGACACTGCATTAAACTGCATCATACTGCACTGGTTTATTCACTGGGGTTAAATGAATCATGATAATCCAATCTGCTAATTCTGCTTGAGAGCAGTTTCCAAAGCACTGAGTACTAATTTAAAAAAATATCATCTTTATGAAATACATATATTTCCTTCCTGTTTCACTAATTAAACCAAGCAGGATGTTTGAAAACTGAGTAGAAGAACACCAAGATGCTTTATCAAGAGATCTGCAAAACTGTGCTGATGCTTGACTGGACCAGAAAGCATACCTTACTTGGAAAGTACAACACTGGTAGTCCTCTTATGAGCAGAATTGAGCCCAGAATTATGATCATGAGTCATGCCAATCATTAAACATGTCACCGTGTGACTGAACCAAATTTTACAACCTATTTTGCAGTAGTCATTAACTGAATTCCACAGTCACATCAAGCAAATATGATGGCCATTAAACAAACCCTTTGTACCCAATGAACATTTGAACACTGGTTTCCAGCAAAAACAACAACAACCCTTTATACATCATGGTTGTGTAACTATAGGACACTGCAAACTGCTGTAAATGCAGGCCACTTGCCAAACTCCCAAAATGCAATCACATGACCACAGGTTTTGTGTGTGTGTGTGTGTGTGTGTGTGTGTGGCTGTCAGAACTTGAAACTGAGTTGCAGAAATTTGTTATAATTTCAAACTGTCACAAAGCAACTGATTATAACTCAAGGACTGCCTGTATGTCATTTCATGTATTGTAGTAGGTCTGGAAAGTAACTGTCCTTCTTTATCCCTTTATAGCAGGGCTCTTCAAACTTGACAGCTTTAAAACTTGTGGACTTCAACTCCCAGAATTCCTCCTCTGGTCATGTTAAGCTCAGAAATTCTGGGAGTTGAAGTCCACAAGTCTTAAACTTGCCAAGTTTGAAGACCCTTGCTTTATAGAATAGCAACTGTGTTCAAAAGCAAAACTCTGATATCAACCTGTTCCTCAGTGTTAGGACACACAAATCCCATTTGACCAATTAGAATCATGGGACTTTGTTGACTTTACAAGCCCTGTTGCTTCAGTGTGTTCCTCTTTCCCTCTTGCACTCATTATTTTTCGCTAGGTGCCTTACAGTGCACCCCAGGTCACCAAACACATATTTGTCTTTCAGGTTTCTGTTGCCATGGATGCTCCTTTCTCTAGATAATAATTTGCAGTGCAGCTTTGTACAACCTGCACCCTCCCATTTCATTACAGGAGAGTCTTTTTAACCTTTGACCTCAAGAACATCCATGAATCTTGAAATGAACAGCAACGGCAATGTTGCACATGGCAGATACTTATTGCTCCCCAGCGTTTTAAAACAGAAAAAAATCTGTATGTAAAAAAGAAGATACTGAATCTCTCCTGTTCCTATTTTAGGTGTTATAACTGAGGGTGGGTGTCTTTTCCCCTTATGGCTACTTCATAAAAAAAACAAAAAAATGCTAGGGAGCCTACTAATGGATTTCTTATGTTCTATGTAATCTAGTTCCAACAAGAATTAGATATGATATGTATAATGTAAAACAACTTTTTGAAATAGTATGTAACCAAATTAGGCTGCATGGTTTGTCAGCCAGGAACTTGGATGTGTGGATCAGTATAATTCCTTTATAAATGAAATGTCATTTTTTAAAATTGCTCTGCAACAATTTCATTCTCTGATTTTAATTTCTTTCCTTATTAATAGCCTCATTACTATGACACCATGGTCTGTGAATTGCAGCAATGAAGCAAATTTTGGAACTCTTAGATGTTTATCCATTTTTCTAAGCTGCTTTATATGCAATTGCTTAGATTAGGAGTAAAGTAAAAAAGCTGCTGTTGATATTCCCACATAATGTGAAGAATACCACGTATGGAAATTTATAGAAGAAATTTCAGCTCTGTGGGCTTATATTGGATGCTTGTTGTCTCATAGATCGTTAAACTCATCTCAGCAATCGAGAAAACCTTTGATAGGAATAGCATATAAGCCTTTATTACTCAGAGAATATATTAAGAAATCTTGCTTTATTCCTTACACCCACTGGAGTTGCTTAATGTATTGGAAAAGTGAATCTGGAAGGCCCAGCTGGTTTTTTAAACAAAGCAGAGATCTAGTGGATCACAATTCAGGGTTTATTATTTACTTATTTATTTATTAAATTAATATATGATCCACCTCACAGTCACACAATTCTGGACAGCACACAATCTGATAAAACACTATTATAAAAGTTTAAAGCAGTAAGACAATAAATGTAACATTACAATAATAGAGAAATACAATAGCTAAGATAGGTGTGATGACCTGGATTGTAACACAAACATAACAAAATCCAAAACGTAAATAAATGTCTTTTAATGCCTCCAACTTGGCCCCACTGTTCAATAATTCTCAGTTGGAGATAAAACTTACTCAAAAATAGTCTTCAAAAGAAAGCAGTACAGTCTGAACTTAAGGAGCAGATAGAGATGAAATAAAAAAACCAAACAAACTACAATGAAGAAATTTACACAACAGACCAGGATAAGTAATTACCAAATTCAAAGAGATAACAAGGCAGTCTGTTGGAAGGACACCAACCAAGATAACTTCAGCCCAAAATAAAACACGCTTTGCTTCTGGCAACGCTGTGTTTTAACTGTCTCTCTTATATACTATTCTCCCTGGCTGCAACCAATGATGAGGAGGATCATGGCCGCTTCCTCTCTCGTAAGCCAAGTTGTTTCCTTCTCCGTTTCTCCCTGTGTGTCCTAGGATACAAAGGGGATGGGCCTGGTTCTTCCTCTGACTGCCCAGCCGGCCTCTGCCCTTCCCCAGCCTCCTCCACAACCCCCAGAGCCACACCTCCAGTCTCTATCAGCTGTTTCTCCTCTCCTTCAGAGTCTGACTCTACCAAGGGCATGACAATAGGTATGTGTGTGGGTGTACAATGAAGTGGACGTGGGATTTTTTTATTAACCTAGTAACCACTTCCAGGATGACAAGGTCACAGGCCAACATCCAGAACTAAGTTTTAAGGTTCCTCCTTAAGGCCAAGAGAGTGGGTGAGGATATTCCAGAGGGCAGGAGCTAAAGAAGAAAATGTTCTTCTCCTGGATCCCACTAGGCATAATTCCTTGATTGATGGGGTCTGCAGTGTGCCCTTTCTGCTGGCACAAAGCCAATCACATTCTCAGGTAACCTGGATCTATGTCATAAAGGGATTTATAGGTAATAAGCAACATCTTGAACTGGACCTGGACTTGCTTTGTTCATAGCAGTTTGTAATCTGCTGAATAAGAAGATTAAGGATGCCTTTGAACTTTGGTGTTGAAGAACCCCATGGCCACCGAAAAACCCAAACCTATGGCTCATCGAGCAAATCAACTCAGAATTCTCACTTGAGGCACAAATGACCAGGCTCACATTATCCTAATTTAGGCACATTATGTGAAGACATCACTCTTTACAGAAGGCCTTAATGCTGGAGCAAGTGGAAGGAAAAAGATGGCGATGACCAGCAGCAAGGTGGATAGACTCAGGTATAATTGCTGTGATTGCATCATTTGGAAGACCTTGAAAGGACAGGTTAGGGATACAGTGTCATGGAGGGGGAAAATGTGTAATTGCTAGGAGTTGAAAAAGACTTGATGGCACGTAGTCAATCAATAGGTCAGTTTGTTAGAATACTAGCATAAAACCAAGAGGGTAAATATGAAAATGGATTTTCTGTCCTGCAGCAGAGGGATGAACTTATACTTGACTTCACAAGTGATGTGGTTGCCTTGATAATTAGCCTGCAATCTTGTTATCTAAGAAATATTTGTTATCCACAAGATCAATCTTTAATATTACTTCTACTACCATTTTGTTCTCCCCTCTGTAAAGGAAGGGTTTGCCCCCTCATTATTTATTTTTATAAGCATGAGGCAGAATCTTCTAGGTTGTCTAGTCAAAACCCCTGCTCTGGCAGGAGATCCTATACCATTTCAGACAAGTCTAGTCTCTTCTTTAAAATCCTCCAGTGATGAAGCACCCACAACTTCTGAAGACAAGCTGTTCCACTGCTTAATTGTTCTCAATGTTAGGAACTTTCTCCTTAATTTCAAGTTCCAGAAACAGAACGATTCTTCTTTGTTTTGCTTCAAGAGACTAACAGGAGTATTTCTAGCAGACCTGCCTCTCCATGGCTTCTTGTCATAGTTTGAGGTGTGCTATTTTTAAGGTCGCTTCTGTGTCAAGTAACAGTAAGGCCTGCCTGCCTATGAACCCTCCTTCCTTAGCAAACTTCAGCCCTTGTTAAAATGAGAGCTTATCATTGCCTCATTCTGACACTCCTTAATATCCCATCTGTTTAGAGCCCAGTGAAAGTTTTGCCAACAAAAACAACAGCATACAGCTCAGTACACCCTGGCCTACAGGTGACAAACAGGAGTATGGTTGGGACAGGACAACTTGAATTCCCAACCAGGAGAGCGACACAGCAGATAGCAAAGAAATCCCACTGAAGGGTTTCTCATGAGCCAGGAATGCACAAGCTGTGCGCCCTCCCAACCTTTGGTACAAATGAAGTATTATTTTTAATGTAATAAAATACTATTATGCTATT